TCTACTTCATTAAGAACCCTTTTCAGGGTTAACTCTTATAGTCATTGTATTCTTTTCTAGGTCTCTCACAGTGAAAAACACTTTCAATTCCAGCTTATGTGTGGTGGTGATGTTCCCACCTTTTACTTTGTGTTTCATTCCCAATTAGACTGTGGTCTCTTTGAATGCACACACTGCCATTTCTAGCACAGAACTGGGCCTTCACAGCAGGAAGGACCATCCTGCGCATGTCCCCACACTGCACATGGTGAACACCATCCTAGCACAGCATTTCTCCTAAAATGCAGGGTGACCAGAGGCAGCACTGAAGCCCTTTGAGCTGCTGTTGCTGCAAGGTTGACGTGGCACATTCTGCTCAGCCACTTGCTTCCGAGCTCAGGCCTCACTTGACACAACAAAATTACAAATTACCAAATAGCATGGACTTTCAAAATTCTATGCACTTAGATGAAATCAAATGTTGAATTCAGAAATGATGAAAATTACTGTAAGAATTAAGTACTCATTGACCTTTATCTATTTCACTTTCTATAATGGTCTTACCACTACTTACTGCTATTTCGAGAGCTTTCATCGGTGGCATTCACCCTTAACAGTATTTACTGAGAATTGTGAAAGCAGGTGTGTGTACATATGTGTGTGGGCATAGCTTATCTATCTACACTAATAAAAGAGAAACATGCAAATTGACCATCCCTCCACTATGCCCACCAGCCAATCAGAGTGATATGCAAATTAACCCAACAAAGATGGCAGTTAATTTGCATACAGAGGCCCAGAGTGAAGACTGAAGACAGCGTGGAAGGAAGCCAAGCACTGCAGAAGGGAGCAAAGCGGTGGAGAAGGGAACGGAGCCAAGGTAGAGGAGACAGGAGCTGAGGCAGTGGACATGGAGGGAGCGAGGCAGCAGAGACGGGAGGGAGCGAAGTGGTGGAGAATGGAGGGAGCAAGGCTGTAGAGATGGGAGTGAGCAAGGCAGCAGAGACAGGAGGGAGCGAAGTGGCGGACATGGGAGGGAGCGAGGCAGTGGAGATGGGAGGGAGCCAAGGCAGTGGAGAAAGGAGGGAGCGAAGTGATGGAGAAGGGAGGGAGCCAAGGCAGTGGAGAAGGGAGGAGCCGGAGCGAGGCGGCGGAGACAGGAGGGAGTGAGGCGGCAGAGATGGGAGTGAAGATGCTTCGCTCCAGCCTTAGGTAGCCCAATTCTTGCAGGAATAGGCCCGAGGAAGCCCTATTCTTGCAGGAATCTTCCTGCAATGGGCCTCTAGTATGTACATATTTGTGTATTACAGTATCTGTTCACCAGTGTTCTCCATTCCTCAGTAACCTATTTCCTCACATCTCCTACCCCTTTCTTCTCCTGGAGTCTTTCCTCTCAGGTGGTATGACTTGGGCTAAGGAGCTAACTCAACCAATTACTGACAGGTTTGCTAATCTATCAAATTCAAATCCAATGGGTCTGACTCACAGGACTGTTTCCACCAAATGTTTTATGCCTGAAGATGTCCCATAAAGTGCCATACAGAACAAAAGACTGTCTCTTTCCAGAGTTTTATACAAAAGCAAACAGATAAAAATGAACACCCCAGGTAGTCTTCTTGGGGAGAAAAAGTCTTAGAATGTCTATAACTTTTCTTTTATTTCTCTCTTCTGATCCTAATGATAATCTCCATGGCACTGACACTTTTCATGTGCTGGTGTCCTTCCCAGGTCACTTAGCAAGTTCTCTGTTCCTAGTAACTGTGCCTCATTCACCTACAAATGGCACACCAACCATGCTCTGGGAGGGTGGAAGTATAGTCCTGACATGCTATGTGACGTGGTGGTCCACAGGTATTATATTTATTTCCATGCAGTTTATCAGCTTCATTCTCATGACCTTACAGTTGTACTTTGAACACAGGTATTTGAAGCACTTGCTGGTAGGCCTCTATTCACCCAAGCAGAGTTTCTGGAATTTCTGCCTCTATATCTAGTTGTAGCAGTCCTCAGGGAGTCAGCTTCTTCTAAAAAGGGCAGACTTTGGAGCATGGAATTTGAATGCTGCCTTCACCCCTTACCAGCTGTGATACTGGCCATCTGATGTAACCACTCTGAACCTCAATTATCCATCCGGAGACTAGATATGCTAATACCAACCACATAGTGAGCTCGTGAGGAATGGAAAAAATCTCAAAAGTACCAGTACCTGCCCACAGGAAGCTATCATGAGATATTTACTCCCTTCTGTCTTTGCGACTACCCTCTCTGTTACTGCCCCACCACTCCCACAATTTTCATTATTCTCACTGTTCTCAAAAAACTTGCAGTTTATGACATAGCTCAGCAATAGACTCCTGACCTTATCACTAAGAATAATTGTATAACTCCTACTGTCATAGCTGGTTTCAGCTCCCTAAGTGACATCAACCCCAATGCCAATGACCCAATGCTGTTGCTGATTGGTATGATGAAAAAGAATAGTTATATATCTGGTGAATCCAACCTTGACAAACACTACATTGACTATAGTCAAACTCCTCAGCCTCCCAAGTCAGCCACTGTCCTTTTCATAAAAACTCACAGGATTTTTGGTATGACAACTCTTTCTAATTGGATATGTTATTGCTTTGGGCTTAAGAATTCTAAGCTAGAGAACTTGAAGGCAATCCTTGGTATTTGTTCTCTTTCTTCCCCCTCTAAGTCTAAGCTGCCCCAAGATTTAGACCAGCCGTGGGCAAACTATGGCCCGAGGGCCGGATCCGGCCCATTTGAAATGAATAAAACTGTTGAAATAAAAGACCATACCCTTTTATGTAATGATGTTTACTTTGAATTTATATTAGTTCACACAAACACTCCATCCATGCTTTTGTTCAGGCCCTTCAGTCCAGTTTAAGAACCCATTGTGGCCCTTGAGTCAAAAAGTTTTCCCACCCCTGATTTAGACACTCCTTTCAGGTGTTTTCATGAATTCACCCTATCGTTTTTATGTTTGTTTGTTTTTCACTGTACCTTCTTACTTTTAGGGGTGGGGAACATTTTTTCTGCCAAGGGCCATTTGGATAGTCATAACATCATTTGAGGGCCATACAAAATTATCAACTTAAAAATTATGTTGCTATGAAAAATGCTCCTAGATTTATTGAATTTTGAGTCCCACCTTCAGTTACCTTCGCAGGACCAGACCAAATGGTACTACCTAAGGACCAGACACGCTCCCCTTGGTTTCCTCCTTTGGTACCTAGAACCTAAAATTGTTACACTAGTCTCTACTTTCAGAGCATTACACCCTATGTCTAAAAACTTGCAATCTCCTTGTAGCAAGTCAAGAATTCCTCCCCTGGCTTTCAAATTCCCTTGTAATCCAACACCTCATCTACTCAATTTGCCCCCATTATTCTCTCCCATGTCCTCTCTAACTTAGTAAATACATTCTTATTATTCTGATTACAGACCATACATATTCCCATCTCTTGGCCTTTACCAACAGAGTCCCCTAACCTGCATTTCTTTTCCCTTTTGTCTCTGCCTCATTTCCTATTCAATGCAACATAAGCTCACAAGCTCTTTGCCTGTTCACCACTATATCTCAGTATATAGAAAATTTCCTGGCACATGATCAGCTTTCCGCCAGTGTTTGTGACTGTCCCTCAAAGCCCACTTCAAAGCTAATTCTTTTTTACATCTACACTGTTTTATTAAATTCTTGTACTACCCACATTCATCTTCATTTTAATTAGCTGATGATATGCTCTTGAAGATGGAATCTATGACTTGCATCATTTGCTTCTAGCAGAGTGTCTTGATAATGTGAGAAAGTAAATATTATGCTTTGGGGAAAGGTCTGTAATGACACAAGGATGATTCATAAAATTAATTGATCACTTACTATTTGCCAGGCACTATTCTAAGATCTGAGGCGGTGGCCCTGTACGTGCACGCCCACACATGGTATTTTGTGGAAGAGCCACACTGAAGGAGCCAAAGAGCCGCATGTGGCTCGTGAGCCGCGGTTTGCCGACCCTGATGAACTGGTTTCTGTATCTTCGCTGCCATTGGCTAATTATATGACCTCGCGTAGATAGATAAATTCTCTGAGCTTTGGACAACTCCTTTATAAACTGAAAGGGTTTAACGAGGTTAGTTGTGATGTCTCTCCCAAATGTAAGATTATCTGAATTTTAAATATTTATTTATAGATTCCTGAGTGGTGGTCCATAAATACTTGCTGACTAATGAATACTATAACCTTTACCTTTCCAAACTCATGATTGTGTATTTTCAGTTTCTTTTAGTTTATTTGTTCTTATTGAATGTCTTTCTTAAGTACAGCATAGGGAATATAGCCAAGTCACTAGTTTGTGGGGCAGATGACCTCTCTTTGAGTTGTCCCAAACTTGGTTTAATTCTTCAAAAGGATACTCTTTATTTAGCTTGAATTCTGGTTTGAAAAGGAGAACATTGATGACCTTTAAGCACTTTTCTTCCCTGTGATCTTCAAAAGTAACAGTTTTATCTCACAGGCCTTAAAAACACTCATATGTCTTGAGATTGTAGCAAAAACGTATTGGCCAAGACATTTTTCATAGAGTCCTTCTCATGTCAGACCCTGCCTTGAGCTGTCCTTGTGGCAAACTGGCTCCCCGGCTCTGACACCAATATGCTTACAAATGCCTTTACTCTTTGCCTATAACCAAATTGTGTTACCAGATGAGCTTTAAAGAGCTAATAATCTGATCTTCAGCTAATTAGTCTTTTGGACAACTTTAGAAAATTTATCTAAAGTAGGGTACTTTGCATACTTTCAAAATCAGATATAAGATGACCACAAATTTTAAAATATTCCTTTTGAATTGGAAAACTAAAAAAATCAGAGCCACTAGCCTGAGATCTCTGTTAGCTTCTGAGGCTTGTTTAGATTCTGGGATAAACAAATGATTACTGTTGACCTCCTCCTTGAGAGGCCAGTCAGATTAGGAAATAAAGTTTACTCAAAGTCTGTTGTGTATGTTTTTTTACAGTCACAATATTCTTCTCTATGAAGACGGGCATGCTGTGGTGGCAGATTTTGGAGGTGAGTAATTATGTATAATTCCTCAAATGATATCAGTTTCTTTCTTCCTTGCATAGCTTGTGCCTCATATTGTGTGTCAGACATTAGATTCCACCCTGACAACTGCACTTCTCTAAGTCATTCAAATTTCAATGATCCTGCTTTTTGTTAAGTATATAATTTATTTTCAGTTCCCCCCTTGGATATCCTCAGCTAAAATAAAGGAACTGAGAAGTTAAAGAAGGTAGAGGTTTCTTAGGGTTTCAACATTTTAGCTGCAATCTTTGACCCTGGTTTTAAGATATGTCCTTTGACCTGGATTTGTTTTGTTTCCCTCAGAATCAAGATTTCTACAGTCTCTGGATGAAGACAACATGACAAAACAACCTGGGGTTTGCTGCTGCTTGTGTTCCCTAAAATTGTGAAACAATTAAAATGTGTGCACTCAGCATGAGAGGAAGTGAGATTGAGAGCAGCTTTAAGTGGAAGAAATGCCATTGTCCCAGGGGCAGGATAATGTTTTGTGCTTTTACTTTCAGTAAGCCCTCAAAGAACCCATTTCAAGGCTGTCCCAGAAGAAAATAGGTTATATATATGGAAAATGTTATGAATAAGATAATACAGAATTTGTTTCAAATGTAACTGATAAGTACATGGCAGGCATGGATAATTGGTTTTCATATTCAGATATCCTTATTAAGTAGTATAGTTAAAACTTAATAGGTAATTCACTAGAAAATTTGTAGCTCATCAGCATCTATTGACAACTCATGTTCGACTTTAACATTATAAGACAATAGGTGCCATGGCCAAGCATTAATGTTTAAGTAAAATAGTATAAGCTTTAACATCTGAAGCAAGTATCATGGTACTCAAAATGTCTGCAGTTAAATTCATCACCTGTCCCCTCCTTCATACTCCCAATGCCCCAAAAATGTACACTTCTTTTTTTTGGAGTATCTGTGTTATTTAATTACCCAAGCTTGGGTTAATTTGTCATTCCTTCCTTTTCCTGCTTCCACTGACACATTACACAATCATTTTTCTGATTGTTTCTTTTGTGTTTTTTTTAAGTTCATCGCAGTTTCTCATTTTCCACTGCATCAGTTCAGGCCCTCAGCCTCTCTTTCCTGGATTATGGCAATAGGCTTCTAACTCAGTCCTCTCATCCAGCTCATTCCTTGCAAAATCAGCCAAGTGTTGTGTTTTAACTGTTTACCTCCTCCTGTAAACCATCAACAATGCCCACTTCCCACAGGCCAACATCCCAATTCCTTTTCCTGGAAGCCTCCTGCCCTTCCCAATCTGGCCCCAGACCCCTCTGTGACCTCCTGTCCCATGACAAGGTCTCTCAAATTCCCTGTGCTCCAGCACACACCCCACTTAACCATCTTGCAGACACACCATTCACTTTCACATCCCCGTGACTCTGAAGTGCTCCCTGCACCCACCCTGGAGGAAGTCTCCTTTTCTTGCCAGGCCCAGGAAGTCACATTCATTTTAAGTACCTTTCCTTCCATAACCTGCCTACCTTTCCACCTCCTCCCCATACACTTTTCTCTCTGAGCCTTTGTGGCATTTTGCAATGCCAGTTTGTACTCCTACTCATTCAACAAACATTTATTGAGGGCCTACCAGGTACCAGGCCTTGGGCAAAGGACCAGGAATGCAAAATGTGGGTAAAAGCCTACTCCTTGATCTCAAAGAGCTCATTTTCTAGTGAGGAGAATGGGAATTTAAAGCAGTGTGGAGGTTCAGTGATACGATGTGACATAGTGATGGGAGCTCAGGTGGGATGGGTAGATGTAAATCAGATGTGTGAGAAACAGGGGTGGGGGTGTCAGGCAGAGTCCACAATAGCATGAGCAAATACATAAGGGAGGATGAGAAATATCAGACTTCCTGGGAGAACTTCATAAGCTTGGCACTGTCGGCATGTACTGTGTAAGGAAGGAAAAGTGAGAGATGAGTTAGAGAGAAAGGCAGGAAAAACATCACGGACCATGTTGTCTCCAAGTAAAATTATACATGTTGGTTTCCCCAGTTAGGTCTCATTCATCTGTTCAGTAAATATTTATGAAGCACCTTCTATGTGTCAGACATTCATTTAGGAACTGGGGGATATTAGAGTACACAAAATAATGTTCTTGTTCCTACTAGAAAAAGAGACTCTGAACAAGTTAACAAAATAAGTGGTGATAAGTGTCATGAAGGAAAAACAAAGCAGATGTATGAAAGGAAAGTGATGGGGGTGCCGTTTAGATAGGATGATAAGGAAAGATAACATCCCATAAGAGAACTGATGTGTGAGTTGTCCATGTAGGGGGGAAAGAGCAGTGCAGACAGGGTAAACAGGAAGTGCAAAGGCCCTGAGGCAGGAGAGTTCTCTGTGTGTACAAGGCCAGAGTGACGGGAGTGAAGTAAGCAAGGGAAATGGTAGGGTATCAGGGTGGTGTGAAAAGTGTGTCCTCTTTTGAGAGGACACAGAGACCTCATCTGGTACCTGGAACATAGAGATAGCTAAAACAGTGGTTCTCAGCCCAGGTTGCACATTTAAATCACTTTGGAAACTTTTTTAAACATGTACTATTTAAATTCAGTCCCCAGAAATTCTGATTTTATTGGCCTAGTGTTGAGTCTGTGTACCTGTATCCTTTAAAAGTTCCCTCAGGTGAGTCTAAAATGAGGCCAGTTGAGATTCTCTGACTAAACAAGCTTTCATTGAATGGAATTGAATTGCGTTTCACCAACAGTGAGTTACATCCTCTTATTGTGGCAGCAGCGTGTAGTCTTTAAGCACAGCACTACTCTAAGTTTATTGTGAAGACTATTTTGTTTCTTACCAGTTATATGGCCTTATGTAAGTTTGCTGATTCCTCTATTACCTGCCTATGAAAAATCGGGCATACTGTTTGCCTACTCCCACTTAGGCAATGTTGTGACACAGCGCATAATCTCCTGTATAAGAGGTGGCTATTTGGAATTTGAAAGCTCGTGTGGAGGATAGCATGTGAGGACCATAATCGGAATAAAGATGTTCTTGGAAAGCTATAATTATGCATGATTTCAAAATAAGGTACACACTTCAAAAGAATTACCAGCAGCCAGCACTACACGCAGAATTTCAGTAAAAATTCTGGTTTCCTTCCATGGAAATACAAAGAAAGAAGGTGTTTGGCGAAGTTCATTGCTATGATTATGGAGCCAAGGGGTTTTAGAGCTGAAGGGCTTTTTCCTCCTATTATGCCCCCGAGGAATCTGAATTCCTGAAAGCATGAGAGACTGGCCCAGAGCGCCCCAAATAGCGGCAGAGCCAAATCTAGAAGATGCATCTTCTAACTCAAAATCTAGAGCTGTTGCCTAAGCCACAAATAAACCAAATTTATGCATTTGCATTTCAGAATAGAAAGATGCCTAAAACTGAAAACTACATAATTGCAAGAGAAAAGAATGTAAATAATGCCATCTCAACAGGAGGATAGGGCTTTGTGCAGAGAAACTGACTTGTAACATTTCATGGGCTTTCTTTCTGGGCTATTGCACAAGCAGCGTTCAGAAAGAACATGTGTGGGCCAACAAAGGAGGTAAGACAGACCTGATCCTGCCCATGAGAAATCTACTTCATAGTATATTCTGGGCACTCCCCAGAGGCCTCTTCTCTCCTTAGTCATGAGGGTCCTATTTATGGGCCTCATTTAGTGATTTCCTAAATTATAACCTGCAGATCTGAAGGAGGGACGGTGCCTCCCACAGTGTGTAGATTCACTCTGAGGGAAATATAGACTTCCTGGATGAACATCAAGGCTTGCCATTCAGAAACTTATAAGGCTTCTGGGGGAAAGATGATCAAAGATAAACAAAAACAACAAAAGCTCTGCTGTTGTGATCATCACTTATTAACAAATGGGGAAGCTCAATGATTCATATTGTTGCAATATTTTTGGAAAAATTATGGATTTCATGATCTTCCAATGATTAAAAAAAATGTCTTTTGAAAAACTGAACAACAGTAAACACATTATTTGTTGGACAAATTGAGTGTAGCACAGTGTCAATGTTATTTTAGGTTTTTGTCTTTTGAGAATATTGGGAAAACACTTAACAAGCAAGTCCTCACTAAGAAGAACACTATTCTACAGTGGAAGAACTAAACGCACAGTGAATAAGTGACCTGTGGATGTTTCTCCACACACAGAATCTCCGCTGGATGGCTCCTGAGGTCTTCACACAGTGCACACGCTACACTATCAAAGCTGATGTCTTCAGCTACGCTCTGTGTCTGTGGGAACTTCTCACCGGCGAAATTCCATTTGCTCATCTCAAGCCAGGTAAGCCAGGCTGCAATGAAAGTTTCTCTTGTTTTCTTTAGTTCCATGCACTTTTACAATCTCAAGAAACACTTTTTTTCCCTAAAAAAAAAGAGTATTCTTGGTGGGTTGGCAAGGTGAGAGATAAATAAACAATCTCAAATTGTTTTAAGATGTATGCCCAATCCAAAAAACATAATGACCTAATTCTGTGATTTTAGATATGGGCACACAAAAGTGTAGGTATATTTTATTAACGTTCAGTGCTTCGATTTACCTGTTGTTAATAAAACAAGCAAATGACGATGGCCATGTGACATGTAGGTACAAATAAGTGGACAGTGCAATCCTTATCTTTTGATATTAGATTTCAAAAGTACCTTTTTAGTGTGTATGGAGGGGTGAGCTGAAAGTAGCAACACATAAAAATAACCTGTCAAGAAGAGAATTACTTTTCCTAACAATTTTGTGTTACATATATGGATACATTCCAAAAATGGGGCTTTGTGGGTGAGCCTAATATTGTTAATAATATACTATGTCCATGGAGGTGGTGGAGGTAGGGAATTTAATTACAGGATTTGAGGTTTAAAGTAAATTTCATTTGCATCTGTCTCGTCACTGTATCTGGAAGTCTTTCATGTCTTGTCACAGTGTTTACTTACTGTGTCCACCATTATGCTGAAAGTACTTAAGGACTTTGCATCCCCAAAAACCAAGCATGCATGAAAAGTTGTTTCCAAATTAAATCATAAATACATTTTAAATAAATTATATTGTAAGTGCCTAGTGGCCAGTCTATCATAAAATTCATGCATGGGGCCAGTACCCACTCCAATCAGGGACTCCTCGGGGGATGTCTGACCCTGTGGGATTGGGCCTAAACCAGCGGTTGGACACCCCTCTCACAATTTGGGACAGCTGGCTCCTAACCACTCACCTGCCTGCCTGCCTGATTGCCCCTAACTGCCCTCCCTTGCTGGCCTGTTCTCACCCTAAACTGCCCTCCCCTGTTGTCCTGATCTTGCCCTCTACTCCCCTCCCCTGCCAGCCTGATCTCACCCCCAATGGCCCTCCCCTGCTGGCCTGATCTTGCCCCTAACTGCCCTCCCTTGCTGGTCTGAACTCACCCCCAACTGCCCTTCCCTGCTGGCCTGATCGCCCCTAACTACCTCTGCCTGCCTGATCATCCCTAACTGCCCTCTCCTGCTGGCCTGATCTTGCTCCCAACTGCCCTCCTCTGCTGGCCAATTTGGTTCTGATTGGTCAGTTTCTATGCCAGTCAGCGTCAAAAGCTCTGCCTCCTAGGTAGCCATTGGCTCCTTACATTCGCCCATATTTGGTTCTGATTGGTCAGTTTCTATGCCAGTCAGTGTCTCTGTGCCTATCAACAGGGCCAGATCAGAAGGGCGGGCTGATCAGCAGCCCTGATGGAGGCCTGGGGAAAAAATGGAGGCATGGCTGTTGGTCAGGCTGGGAGAGAAAGAGAGGCAAGTTCTGATCAATGGCTGCCACAGAGGCTACAGATCAGACCCTGCCTCTCTCTCTGCAGGCCTCTCTCAGGGCCTGATCCGCAGCCCCTTAAGCAGTCAGTTGCTGGGTTGGGGTGCCCACAATGGCCCCAGTCAGGGCTGGGCTGCCATAGCAATCCAGCACTGACTTCCGGTTTGGTCAAGCCTTCGGTCGTTAGGACCCTGGTTCTTTATTATATAGATTGCTAAAAACCACTCAAGTCTTTGTATGGATGTTTCATTACTCTTAGGTAAATACATGAGATGGATTACTAGATCTTATGGTAAGAGTTTTTCCAGTGGTGTTTGTGCCATTATGGATTCCCACCAGCAGTATATGAGAATCTCAGCTCCTCCATATCCTTGCCAGCACTTTTTAATTATTAAGATAAAATATTTGTCACTAGAGTAAGTGTATAATGCTACATCATTGTGGTATTGTTTTATATTTCTCCAATAACTCATGATGTTGATAATATTTTCATGTGTTTATTTGCTGTTCACATCTCTTTCTTCAGTAAAGGGTTTGTTCAAATTGCCTTATTATTTAGCTGTAAGGGTTCTTAGGTTCTAGGTAGAACTCTTTCATCTACTATGTTTTTTGCAAGTATTTTTCTCTAGTTAGTGGCTTACCTCCCTATTTTCTTAGCAATATCTTTTAAATAGCAGAAGTTTTTAATTTCAATAAAATCTACTTAACCAATAATTAAGTCAATTTTTTTGTGTATTCTAACAACATATTCCTGTCTCACCAATGGGCACAAAGATTTCTTCTTATCTTTTGTTATAGAAAACTTATAGGTTTAAGTTTTATATTTGCAAGATTGAGGTCCTTTTTAAAAAATTGTACAAGGTATTGGTTGAGTTTGTTATTCTTTTATTAATTACTAGTTTGTTTTTTATATACATTTCCAATTTTCAGCATGATTAGTTGGAAAAACTATCTCCATTAAGTATGTTTGGTACCTTTTTTAAAATCAATTGACCAGATCTATGTGTATCTATTTCTGGACTCTTCTGTTCCATTGATATGTCTACCTTTATACCACTACCAGACTATTGATAGACTATAGTAAGTATTAAAATGAAATATGAACCCTCCAACTTTGTTCTTCTTTGTTAAAATTGCTTTGGGTACATGGGGTCTTCCAAATGATAAACATGGTGTATCTCTCCATTCATTGGGTTTTCTTTAACTTCTGTCATCGGTGTGTTTTAGTTTTTATCATACAAACCTTGCACACATTTTTAGACCTACTTCTAAGTATTTTGTTTCTTGATGCTATTTTTTGTTAAATTTCAATATCCAATGGTTCTTTTATAGTATAGAGATATAATTAAAATTTTTAAATAACAACCTAGTACCCTGCAAAGTTGCTAAATTAATTTATCAGTTCAAGTAGTGTTTTTCTACATTCTTTATGAATTTCCACATAGAAGATTAGGTCACCTGTGAATAAAGAAAATTTTATTTATTTCTTCCATGTGTCTTTTATATCGTTTTCTTGCCTCTCACACAAGGCAAGGACGCTCAGTGTAACACTGAATAAAGTGGTGAGGTATATAACTCAAATCTACCTACTTCTTGAAGTTTTATCCACCACCACCCTGGTTTAAACTGCCATCTTGGTCACTTAAATTACTGCAATAGCTATTGACTGTTCCCCTTTCATTCTTGTCCCCCCTTCCTCTTTAGTCCCTATGCCTACACTGGAATGATAGTTTAAAAACAGACTTGATTATGTCACTATTTTTTAAAGTTATCCTATGACTTCCCATGTTCTTAGGATTAAATCTCAAGATTCTTAATATGCCCTGCAAGACCCTAACCTTGCTTGTATCATTTAACTTCCTCAGCTCCAGTGACTCTTGCCTTCTCTTGGTGCCTTCAATATGTTGCCCTTTTGCAGCTTCTTTAATAATTCAGTTAATGATGACACCACAAAGATTGCTTTGAGGATTAAATGAGATGATGCTTGTGACTGAACTTTGTCAATTGAAAACTCTGCAAATGTAAGATGGAAGATAAGGGCAAAGGCTAATACAGGGTTCAGGCTTCCTAGGATTCTATACTTGGGTGGAGCTCATTCTCCAAGAAGCCCATACAGATACTGCAAGTCACCTTGTCTCTTCTCGTTCCCTATTTTTTCCCTTCCTTCCTCCCTCCCTCTCTTCTTTCTTTTTTTCATCCCCGCCCCCACCCCCCCCACACACACACTTTGCTTATTTTCAGTCTCACTTTCTAAATATTTCAAATCTATACACTTACCACCCTCTTTACTGCTACTTTCTATTTCACATGCAGAATACTGCACAGTATCATACGTGGTATCCTTGTCTCCAGTTTTGCTCAGCATTTTTCCCTCACCAACTGCCATTCTATAACTAGATTTAGCTTTCTAAAAACTCAAATTTGATCATCTTGCTTCCCTTACTTAAAATCTCTAATGTTTTTTCTTTGCTCTTAAGATTAAAAACAAAATTCCTAAAAATAATCCACATAATTATGCCCCTGCTTTTCTCCCGCATCTCCCTGCTGCCACTTGCAGCCTCTCATCTATGTTCCAGCCACATTTCTATTTCATTTCCCCAACATGCCCCATTTCCTCTCACATCCATGTCATTTGTCAGAGATACTCTGCTCCTCTTTTCATCATACTAACTCCAATTTACTTTAGGTCTTCAATATTACTTCTTCCAAAAACATCTTCCTTAATTCTTCAATATTGACTTAAGCTCAGTCTCCTCCCTGCCCTAAGTCATCATGGTATTTACATTTCACTCATACGGTTTTGTTGTTTTCTCTACTCTTTATTATACTTTGCAAATTAAGAAATGAATATTTCAAAGAGATGGAGATTCCCTCTCTTGTGTACCCACAGAAACATTTATTGTTTTTGGAAGAGAATATTACATAATAGAACAGTTAAAAGTCTTGCCTAAGAAAAACTGGATTCCAATATCCGAGATATTAGAATTTATAGTACGTTATTAGAAAGAGAGTGCGCCTATGATAGATGCTGCATTTTTAAAAGTGGGACAGTGGCCATGCATCAAGAAACGAGACTGTTAATATCATTGCAGTGGTTAGGCAATCTAGCATATGTTTAGCAATAAATCATGTGAAGCATCACATTCAGTGTAAGCTGCATATTAGCCATTTACCATGAGGAACAAATCCATGACTACAATGTGGGACAGCATTATCAATTACAGTAATAGCAACATTACACATGGCTCATCCTCCTGGATATGGCAGAATCCTATCTCCTGAGAGAAATATAAAAGTAGGGCACAAATATTAGCATTGACTCTTCTACAAGTAATGGGTATGGATTCAGAAAAACTTGTATTCAGGGTCTCTTTTACATAGTACATTTTTAACTTAACCTTATAATTTCAGGTTTCGAAAGAACTATGCCCACAGGGCCAGCAGAAGCAGGCAAGTGTTCTACACAGCACAGTGTGATGAACAGGAAATCACATGCTCTGAAGCAATGGGGCAGGGGC